CCCACCTCCTACCGAGGATGGGCCCGTCACCAAGCAGGAACCCCACGCTGCCAGCGAAGGTGGACCGTTTCCAGTCGACCATGACTGAACAGTCCTACAGAGCCACAGCGTTGTCCGCCAGGGCTCTGAACGTTTCCTCACTGCTAACCGCATACCAAACGGAGCTCTGTGAGGATATGTTGAGTAATCCTGGACCGGCCGTTCTGGATGAGTTGGCCGCGGTCACAGACATTTGTCTCCGTGTCCAACGCTGCGCCGTCCAGGCCACGGGCAAAACAATGGGGATCATGGTGGTGCACGAAAGAGCTAGATGGCTCAACCTCACCAACCTCCCAGACCGGGAAAAGGAGGATGTGCTTGACATGCCCATCGTTCCCGAGGGGATTTTCGGCTCCGCTCTTGCCTCCATGCAGAGGAGATGCGAGTCGAAAAAGAAGGAGGACGAGGCCCTCCACCTCTGCCTCCCTCGAAGGGCCCAGCCGCTGCCTTCGCAGCGGCAGCCCTTCGTCCAAGCTGCCCCGAACCCTGCTCGGTTCAAAATACCGAAAACGCAGAGGTCGCAGTCCGCCCCGAGTCCCCAGCCCAGGCAGGGGACGAGGGCGAGCTGGCCTAGAAATTCTCCGGTTCCGGCTGCAGCCCAGGCGCAGCCAACCCAGAATTTCGGCCAGCAGTCGAGGAAGAAGAAGCGAGCGGCGTGACAGCCCCTCCTTCTCCCCTATGCGATGAGGCGCATCCCATAGTGAGACATCTCACTTCATGTTACTCTGAGAACTGGGGTTACGTAAGTAACCTATAGATTTTCTCCGGTTGTGTATTTTCAAATTCTAGCGATCTCGAGCCGGTTTCTCAAACTTACCTACCCCACCTTTAATACGCCAAAAATAGACAATACAATGATTGTTCACGAGTCCCAAAACACGAGTCCAAGTCGAGTCCGAAGTCTTTTGAGCAGGAGTCCAAGTCAAGTCTGAAGTCTCTGTGTGTGCGATTTAAGTGCGACTCGAGTCCGAGTCACAAACTCGAGTCCCCATCTCTGGTGCACACGGAGACCGACTCTTTCGTCCGGTGATCTAACCGCCTTCTGGAAAAGCTTATTATTACGTACGTACGTACGTACGTACGCAAATGCGCTTGGAGACACAAGTGACAGACAGTACGCATTTCAGATTACGCACATAACTTGCGTACCAGTTAGTGCACCCCTGTACTACAGCAAAAGTATTCTCCGTCGGGACTTCCTGCAACAACACCACGCCGTTATCTTGATTCTGATTGGCCAGAAGACATTATCAAAGATGTTCTATTGAGAAGACGATCACTACGTGACAAAAGTTTTCAAAACCGTTTCTGGTCTTCGGTATTTCCAGACAAGTGGCTACTGAAATCAATCTTACTAACTGCTGTCTGTGCAATTCTCAGCGAGAGTTGGCGGACTTTATTTTGCTTACTTTAACATCATTTTTCATGGTGGGGCTAAGCCATTTCTTGGTATGGGTGTAGCCTACCCCAGCCATACCCTGGCGCTGCCACTGTTGGGATGTATGGGGCGGGCCATTCTGCACATGCGTTAAATATTTTAACGCAATTAATTCAAAAGATTAATTACCGCCGTTAACGCGATAATTTTGACAATTTTATATATTTAGTTTTAATTGTCACCTAAATGCCTTCCAATAGTTATCAAAGAGTTTAAAGGTTGTACCTCTTGAGATTGAAGAGAATCCAATGCTGTACAAACTCTTTTATCTGTACCTCTTGTGTCTGATCAAAAAGGTTCATGCATCCGTGTTCGTTATTCTACATGTTGTTCCCTGTGCCATGGCTTAGTTAAGAATTGAGAATAGTATGCACTATGTGACTTACCATCACTATGTGGAAGACACACTGCAAAGGATTGGTGTCAGGGGCGGATCTACGGGGAGGCAAGGGGGGGCAGCTGCCCCCCCACTGTAGAGCCTTGCCCCCCCAGCTGCCCCCCTAACTTTTGTTTCCCTAAAACTGTACTAAAACAAACCTACACTATTTCCACAAGCTTCTCAAGCAACAAAACAAGCATTACATTAGTTAAAAGTGAATTATTTTAAATATCATTTTAGGCCCGTTAAAAACGCAGCTACGGCCCTGCATTAAACTGCGGAGCGGCGTTCACACAGACCGCAGCTCACACAGCTGCAGAGAGGGAGCGAGCTGTCCCAGCACCTATGGATCAGCTTCCCCTGGGAGCATTTCCCTTTCCACTAGTTTTGTTTTTACTAAGGACGAGAGCTTGAAACTAAATATTAATAAAACGCTGCAATTTGAATCGATAGCGTTTAACAGACGGGCGCTGTTTGGGGCGTTACGTTACAAAATACTACGCAGACAGCGTTAGCTGGGAGATCGATCACTTTGCTAAACTACGCGGTAGCCTACTATTAAATCCAAGTAAACTACACATCACAGCCATGAGGCCAGATCAATGAAACCAGGATACATCCTTTACCGTAAAAACTGGATCCAAACACAGCTGCCTGTGTGCGCTTGATAAATACGTTCTGATGTTATATTTATGATATGCTACATATTAACTAGGCTACATGGCCCTAACGTGTAAAGTTATACAAGCATTTGTACCAGTGCTTTTCACAAGTAGACTCTTGCAGGCCAGAGTATAGGAGTGATTCAACAACAACAAAAAGACATATGAGAAGTGATCAGGACGAACAGAAAGAGGAAAAGGAAAAGAGAGTTCACTGAAGAGACCAGGAGGGTCAGAGCAGGAGGAAGAGGAGGAGATGAAGACATTAGTGAAGAAGAAGAAATATATGTGAGGAATAAAGATGAAGTATCAGAAAGTGGGCCAGAGGCAGGGATCAGGAGGCAGAGGAAACTCTAGCTGGACCACATGGTATGTTCTTATTCTCCTTACATATTCCATTACAGCAGCACAATCTAGCAGCTCTTAGTATTGACAAATATGTATTGAAATGTGTTGCTGCACAGGTCACCTGTAGCTCTCTGAAGAGATGGGTGATGTCATTTGTGTACTTAATTATAATTAAGTACTTACAGTATGCAGAATTCTGAGTATTCTCTGAATCGGGTATCTTTTGGGTCTTTATATCTTTGAAAAATGAAACCGAAATGTTTGGTCATAACATCTGGTAGTGGACTACTTACATGTTCCCACCTCAGGCACAAAATATAAATAATTACTAGGAATTTCCTTGAAAAAATAGGGTTGAAGTTTTTGACAAAAAGTAGGCATGAGACCTTGTTTAGATAAGATATGGCACCACATGGAAGTCAAGGACATTACAAAATTGTAATATTTTGCTAAACTATTGTTTATTTTTGTAATAAACAATTATTTACTATTATTAATTCATACAACATAGTTGAAATGTTGAGCTTGTCAATCTTAATCTGAAAATACAAAAACTGAAATATAGGTAAGAGAAGAAACTGACACTTTTGTGATGTAATTCCCTCAATGAAGATCACACATGGACTGATCCATTATTTTAATAGGAGGGTATGGTATGGCGTGACGGGGTTGAAACAAACTGAGGGACAATATTGCAATTTCATAGATAATTCAAGTATTTTTTCAGAATTGATTTTTGATCAGTTAAAGTTGACAAGCATATGATTATATTAGCAGCAACATTTTGGGATAATTGGCCATTTTGATTTGTTTAATATTAAATTAATATGTAATAATGCTTAGTGAGGACATGCAAATATGTCTGTCTAAGTAAGACAACCAATTTTTTTTAAAACAAAATATATATTTAATTTTACATTGTAATGCAAAACAACCTGTTCCATTAATTCATTGCTTTAAAATACATTTTGTAGTTTCCTTTCATTTAAAATGGTTGAGGTAAGCTTGGGGGACTCAAAGGGCACCCGATTGTTTGTCTGAACACCTTATTTCTCTTGTGCATTAAGAACACTTGTGTATTAAGAACACTTGTGTTAGGGCATGAATTAACAATAAATAGGTTATATACAGTGTAAAATACCACGTACTGTCCGCCCTCCTATGCCACCCTGGCATGACCTCTTGCCTCCCCTTTGCCCTCCCATGTAAAATGTTCTAGAACCGCCACTGATTGGTGTTATGGACACAAACTTGGATTTTACAAATCAACTCGCTTTTTTAAAATCAAGTCTTTAAAATGATTTTATTAAATATATTAAATGATTTGCATATCCTTTATGTTTTACTGCACTTAAGTTGATTCCACTTACCAAATGCCTGTAAGGTTGATATGTTCAGGAGCCAGCAGTTTTTTTGTTTTAGTTCAACCAAAACTAAACTTGTTTGCACATTGATTTTACAAAGAAACAAGACATAAGAAGTTACTAAGTATGCTTTAGATTTGTTTGTTTGTTTCCCAGGGAAACCCTCACAAGAAACACCAGCTGTTGTTATGCCTGCTGTGACGTTAAGTTGCCTCTTGTAATTATGCCTTTACAATCTTAAAAGTTATTTTTATCATCTGAATTTGGCGAAACAAGTTTAATATTCTGAAAACCAAGACTTTGTTTATTTGAAATCAGATGAAAACAAACTGTCACGGACCCTGCCGTGTTATCTATGATTACTACGCTTTTCATTCATAATTTCAGCGGGAGGGAGGGGGAGTGGCGCTGAGGAACAGCAGAGTGCGGGCTGACAGGTGTCTGTGTTGACATTCCCCTTATTGTGGAATAAGGGGAATGCAGAGACTGGCTACAAGTGTTTTAGGTTCAAGTTAGACAACTAATGTCTGGGTTAGTGTTCATTACTTCATGTGTATGTCATCTAATGGTTAATCTCAATACACACACATTTTCCGTGCTTTCCAATAGTTTAAAATAGTTTTATTCCACTGTTTAATAACCTGTTACAAACATGCCACTTGTAAAAATGAAATAACATTTCTGTGAACTGATATTTGTTTAGTGAGCTTATTAGAGGATGTTCCCATTTTTTGGGGATGTTCCCTTTGATTGTAAAATGTCAATGAAGATGTCAGACTTAGTACATTTGTTAATAATTACATACAACACATGGAATTTGTGTGTGTGTGTGTTCCAAGTGAATCTGCGGCCCCCTGGTGGCCAGTACATCAATGATGTGGCCCCCACCACCATCAAAGTTGCCCATCCCTGATGTAAGGGTATGGTGATTCAATTAAAGAAATCGTATTGCAATAACACGATTTAGCATGATCATAAAGGAGAGTCCCCATTTATCTTTTGCACAATTGTTGTATATTCCCGGCTAATCTCAGGCAGTGTAGGATTCTGATCTTCTCCCTGTGGAGCTCTCCGGGACTCACTTGGCCTGCCAGCTTGGCAGAGAAGTGGATCAGGTCCTGCATGAAGATGCCTACTGCCCCTCTGGGTGCAGGAGGAACCTCTGTCAGAGTACACGAGTCGAATTGAAAGTTGATGTTCTTGGCCCTAGGGAGGCCCGGCCCCCGCTCTTCAATCCACACCAGAGGTCTGTCGTCAGACGTTAATAGCTTTGCAGTCATCTTGCAGTAGTTGTTGCCAGAGTCTTCCTCCATAGTTGCTGCAGTTACCGACAGCTCACCAAACAACTCCACCAACCACGTAAGGCGAGCAATGCCACTAAATGCTGGGAAACCAAATCCAGGCTTCAGAGCTCCACCGGTAAAATGAAGCGTTCCTTCCTGCAGGAGCTTTCCCTCCACCTCTCTCTTTAGTTCTTTGTAGTCTTCGGTCAGCAGCTCAATGTGTTCCTCATGGAGAATAACTCCTTTTTCCTGGGCCAGGTTCCAGAGCTCCAGAGCAGCTTTGTAGTTCATGGTCATGGGATATTCCACACACACGTGTTTTCCTGCCTGCAGAAAAGTTCTGATGTTTTCCTCATGCAACACATTCTCAGTGCAGATGAACGCCACCTGGATGTCCTCTCTGCTCACGGCCTCTTCAGCGGTCACCTGGCTCACTCCCTGCTGAGAGTCCAGCTTTCTCCTGGATATGAAAGCTCTGACATTCAGTTTCTCTGCCGGACTGCCAGGCAGAGGAGCTAACATGTCTCTGATCCTCACCCAACCGGCTGTGCCAATGCCAACAACCACCGCTCCAAACATGCTGGTTCACTGCCCTTTGGTGGCCAACACGGAGAAATGTAGCCGTTATGTTGTGAGCTATGGTTGTGTGAGTAGTGTTATCCCAATAGGTGACGTAACACAGAGCTAGCGGCTAGCAGCAGCCTTCGAGTGAGGCGCCCGGAAGTGTCCAGGGGCACTTATTCTTCTCTCAGATTTTTGCGGATTGCAAACAACTTTAAGGTGCATACCGCCACCTACTGTACAAAAGTGTGTATCACCATATCATCCCATCACCACTTGTGGAATTATACCACTGTATTTACGTTGTTTTAAATTCTTCCAATCAATCCTGTTTCACTCAAATACTTAAGAATGGCCTTCCTGCTAGCTCTTACCCCCTCACCTTCTGTTCCCAGTATCCCCATCAGGCTCCACTCCCTTCCTGCCTCTCTGACCCTGTCTCTTAGTTTTTCCCTCTCTGTTTTGTACATGTTGCAGTGTAATATGATGTGTTCCACATTTTCTTTCACTCCACACCCCCTGCATTCTTCAACTTCACTTTTTCTCATTACAAACATTGTGCCGTTTAATCCTGTATGATCCAATCTGAGTCTAGTGATGATGATCTCCTCCCGTCTGTTCCTTTCTGTATAGATCTTTATTATGACTGATTTCTGTACTTGTGGTATATCCTCCCTTTCTGATCTTCCTCCCACCTTTTCTGCCATATTTCCATACCCTTCTTCTTAATTATTACTTGTCCTTCTCCTTTCCCAAGTGAAACTGGTATTGCTATTTCCTTTTGTAACACATATTTTGCTAATTTATCAGCATGCTCATAGCTCATTCCCTTGAACCCCCTCATGTGCAGGCACCCAGCATAACTGCACATCTATTCCCCTCCTCTGAAGTCTCAGTAAGCAATGGTTGAGTTCAAAGATTAAATCTTCTCTAACAGTTATTGTCGACTGTATGCTTTTCAAAGCAGATAGCGAGTCTGTGCGTATCACCCTATCAGATCTGACCTCTTCAACCCATTGTAGCCCAATAATTGCTGCTATTTCTTTAGAGGCGCTTGCTATTCCTCCTTCTATTTCACATGGATATTTTAATGGAAATAAACTTGAAATGGAAATCTATTGAATTTTAGACACATATTTAAGTAAAATGGAAGGTGGAATAAAATACAAGGAAATAAAGCATGTTTTATTTGTCGACTGTATTTTCTGGTATTGATTCAAGTCAATAGCTCACGACCTGGAAGGTGTAGAAGAAAAATATCAACTTTGAATGGAAAACTTTTTAACTTGCACAACTTTATTCATTTTAAAAATAAGGGGGGATTAGAGTCCAATAATAAGATGTGTGTTATATATAATAAGATGTCCAGTTATTATATCTGGTATACATGAGGAGTCAATGGGTCACAGTACATTACATTACATGCCACTTGTTAGACGCTTTTATCCAAAGCGACTTACATACTCAATACTGTGGACAATCCCCACAGGAGCAATTTCAGGTGAAGTGTCTTGCCCAGGGACAAAACGACATGCTGACTGCAGTGGGATTTGAACCTGTGACCCTCTGATCCGAACACCAACGCACAACCCACCACTGCACCACACGGCTCCCGTGAACGCTATTGGAAATAAATGATCTTTTCATTACAAAAACTGCTGAAATTTCACATCAATATATATTAATATAAAATAGGTGTACTAAAATACAATCAAAAAAACAGGTGTGCTGTGCATTTACTTTAAACAATTAAATTGTAACATTCACTCCACCAGATGACAGTCTTTAAGCTAGTTTTCATGGTTGATGTTTCGAGGGAGGAAAGGAAAATCACACACTTCATGTTACAGTTACAATAAGTACTTTATTGATTCCACAGTGATGCCAGCGCCTGACAGATAAATATACAGTTTATCAATGTACAGCTTGCTTTGAGACAATACATACAGTCCCTTGTACACATACTTAATGTTTTAAGTGTTTAAGATACTTTTGGCTGGTTTCCTTGTCAAAGCATATATGGTCCCCATTGAAAGATGTGAGTTAGGTTGTTTCTGTGTCTGTGAAAGAAGCCCTTTCAAAGTTTCGCTCTGTTAACATAATGTGCTGTTACATGTGCAATCATCTGATGATGCAGCAGCAATATAAGCAATGTGTTTACTGTGTGTGTGTCTGTGTGTATGCATGAATAACAGATCTGGAATGCAATACATTTTATTTACAATAGATACATTTAAACTATCAATATAGGAGGAAAACGTGACATCTTATTTTGTCAGTAGTCTCAGATTCACACCAAGCAAAACTGATCTTATGAAATAAATGCTGTTACAATCTGATATTTCATCAACTGAACCTCTTTATGCTTACTTAGTTTGCAGTGCAAAATTATTTGCTGGCAATTGCAAAATAGTGTGATTTTATAGAAGCTATTCATACGCAGTAGTATTTTAATTTTCAGTATCATCTTCATTTTAATAAATCTTTGTGTATACCCTTCAGTGCAGCCGTGCACACATACAGGCATGCTCACACATCAACTTTCAATCACTCATAAGCCACAAATAGCAGATCTATACACACACATATAACCATACACTCACATTTTCAAATCATACCATAACAAAACAAGTCTAGATTCCAATCTTGTATTCATATCCAGGATGTGTTTCTTCACTAAGCATTGCAATGTTTATTAAATTATCTGTTTTATCCTTATTTTACCTAAACCCACCGAGTTTTGAGCTCTTCAAATGTTAAGAGACATCAAAATTACAAATCCAATCCATCTCTGTGGTCTTTTTTTTAAAACACTAAAACAAAGATTTTTACCAGGATTTTTTCAATTTCTTTTACCCATCTTTCGCCAAGCTTTTTCTGCATAGGTAGCTTAAACAGGCAAAGTTGATGCTGACGACACCAACTTTTTCCACCAGTTAGTAATGGCTCTAGTTATCCTCAATTGATCTGTTCACTGTGCAATCACTGTATGTCAGCCTTTTTCTACACTTTACATATTAGATTCCTGAAAACCTCTTCAAAGTTCTGTTTCAACAGCACCAGCATTCTGTAACAACGCTCATCTTTTAGCCCACAATTCACCCTTGCCTGCGTTTCAATTATAGTGCTGCACGACTCCGTTTGTCGTCTTTCTTCTCGCCCTTTACTTCAGGAGCGATATGTCGTCAGCAAAGTCCCCGTGTGGGTAGATGCAGCGGGCGAAGCGCCACTGGCACACCATGAGACACAGCGGCAGCATGAAGAGAGCGCAGATGCCCGCCATTATGTAGGCGATGGTCATGAGAGTGGACTCGTCCGTCTGAGGGATGTTGTAGCCGCAGTCCTTGAGGTCGACGCCGTGGAACGGGCCCTCCACAGAGGCTGTGCGAAACTCATCATGCACTACGAATGACAGAAAGGGAATGTAAGTATTTTTTCTTACATTTTTATTTAGTACAGACAAAAGATATAGAAGAAAGATGCTTAATATGATGAAATACCAACTACCATTTAAAAAAAGAAATTAAAATAATAATAATAACAGAAAATAGTAATATTGAATAAATACATAACAATAAAAAGTCAATAAGATCCCTTCAACATTTTAAATAACTAGGTTGTCTTATTTAACCAAGGAATTCAAAATGTACTATTCCATATAATCCCACTCTTTGTTGGATCTTATTTTTTGCCAATTTCATGTTTGGGTGTGCCACCTTGTCATAGTTTGTGACAAGAAATTTGTTTTGCAATATCTTTTTTAGAAACCTCACCATGGCAGGTGCTGACTGCAAAGCCGATGCGTTTATTTTCTCGGTCGAACACCACATAGAAGCCTTCCATGATGACAGCCCCCATCACCGTACCAGTGCTGGACTGGGACACGGCAAACTTGTAACAGTCCTCCTCGGCGGAAGCCACGTCCTCTACTGGCCGCAGGTATTGCTACATAAACAACAATGAAAAATACAAAATAAGGATGTAAATCTTTTCCAATTCCGGGTATTTATGCCATTGTTATGTCTGGGGCCTTGAAATGAAGTGCTAAAATGCTAAAGAAGTTGGGTACTTGCCCACTTTACGCCACAATGAAACTAAATGTGTTGTTCTTTTAAAATATAAAGAAAAAGTGCTATCATTACATATTTTGTCCACCAGAGAGCACTGACATGTGCTTTTTGTATCTTGAAAATGCCCCTCTCAGTAAAAGGTTTAGTCAGAAGCCTTTATCATAAAATAAGGTATCTTTATCAAATGTTGTTTTAATTAAATGTATGAGATAAATACATATCAGGTGTTCAGACTCTTTAATCTCTGAGTGATTACAGTTCCAGCCATAAATATTCTGTATCATCTTTGTCTGTAATTTTATTATACGTAGCTTCAATGTACATTCAATATGTGGTGTGTAACCTGCTATATAAGAGAAGGCAAGAAAAGTAAAAACGTATCTCGAGCGTTTCAATCTGCTGTCAGCTTCAATGTCACAGACCTCCCACACATTTAAACCACCTCACTTCTAAATCCCCCTGTCACATCTTTTTTATTCCACAACCATCAAGGTCTTTTCAAGTAGCTTTGAATGAAAAACGCTTAATGACTTTTCAGAGCTTTCTGAAAAGCTTTAGAAAATACATTCAAAGGTAATTTTCTCTGAAATTTGGTCATTATTTTTTTCCTCATGGTACCTTGCCATGCTTTCATCTTTTGAGACTACATAAAATAGTCTGGCTAAGGATAAGAAGACTGATTGTGAACAGACTTCCTGAATGAGTGCAGAGGGGAATAACATACATATGTTTCAGTTATCAGGCAGTCAGTGTAATCATCATAGACCTTGTAATTACAAAGGATGTACGTGACTCAAAGCTATGTACAATTATTTCAAATTTCTGAAAAATACCAAAACCTGAGTGCTCAAAAGTACAGCCTATGTCAGAATACTGGGTGAAATGTTTTCTATCCTGAACAAACCCACATGTCTAAAAGAACAAGAAGTGACATGAATCACGCTGTCATACAGAAGCAGACACAGGGGCCGATAAAAAATAAAAAGTACATTTCCATTTCAATTTAATCTACCAGTTCTGAGGTGTGATGAATGTCAATCTAAAATGATGTAAAAGTGGCATAACCTGTATGTGATTTAGGACAACTCATGATGTGAAAAATTGCCTTGAACAGAATTGTAAAGAGAAGATTTCATGTAGTTTGTGCTCTTTACACTGTGTGAAAAAAACAGATCTTATTCACACCCGCAAAGAACCGAAAAAGAGATTTTGGCAAATGTTGCCTGCAGTGTCACTATCCTTGCAGGCCGAGAAGGTGAATCCAGCACTTGTTTCCAATCATGAATCAAGGTCAAATGAAACACAGTCTTCATTATCCTAAACTGCTGGGACATTTCGCCAATACCTTTATATTGTCTACTCTTCACTTACTTGTCAGCATAGGTCGGCATTGATGTACAGAGCCGACAGAAGACCTTGTTTATATTGGCATCATATTGAGAGGTGCAGCCAGTGACGCATCCTAAAACCAGGAAGTAAGCTGCTGGTTCCCTCGACAAAAAGCAATGGGATTTCTCCACAGGGTTTTGGAAAATAGCTGGAAATAAGGTCTGTGGAAACAAACCTGTTTGATAAATGCACGTTTTGTTCAGCCGGATAATCTCCACATGTCTACCCTACTTTTATATTTTTCGAATCATAAATCTAATCGATAGATTATAAAAGGGTTTTAGGACGCGTCACTGCACCACTCTATCGAAGCCAACTCCATCGATCAAGCTGGCTGAAACGTTCTCTCCCTCTTCTTCTCATGCTCCCTGTCACTCTCCTTTAACTCCTCCGGTGACTTTCTTTTATTTGAAGATTGTTTTTTGCCCGTCGCTTGGCCGGTTACCGCTGGTATTAAAAACATTTTGGCGAATGGTTAGGTGGCGCGATAGTCTGTAGTGAAGGAGCGCGCTCCCGCTCATGGGAGCCTGCTCGCGCTGTGCTCCCGCTCATGGGAGCCTGCTCGCGCTGTGCTCCGCAGCAAACAGCGGTTTGCTTTTCACCCAACAACGACAACCGACTCACGGAACGCTATGTTGTAGCGTTGATAAACGAAACAATTTAACTAAATTGCTAGTCAAAATACCAATACCACAGGACAATTATTTTTTTTAAAGCAATATTTTTAGTGGCCCGAGCGGGCAAGTGGAAAGTACGTTATGCTGGCCCGGGGTGTCTAAATAGTGCTTCCGTGCCAGCGGGCCATTTATAATGTCGAGCCCTGACAGTAGCTTCAGATGATTTTAAAATAATTTCACTTGAGAAATATAACTTCATATGGGACAAATGTTATATCCACATATGCAACAAGATTGAGCTTCAGTAGAGAGACAGTGTAATACCTGCGGCAGGATGGAGATTCTGAAGGACTGGTTGTGGTTTTCACTCATCAGGTAGAGGGAGATGACGGGGAAGATGTGCCAGGGTGTAGTACCAGCCTGCCAACAAACCAGCTGCTCCCCCAGCCAGAACCCAGAGGGAAACTGCTCGGTCTGAAAAACAGGGTCCAGAGGTCATTCGTTTCTTTTCCCAAAACCGCTTATTACAAATCAGGCTCATGTGGAAATGAGACTGGAGGTAAGCCAAAGGTTTGTGGGGGAAAACATTTTTTACTTTTACATATAACTTTTTTACATATACATCGTTACTATCTTCTACAATTTTGACTACAAAAGTATGCCATTCGATCGAAAACAGACAAGGATTTGCAGAAATGTAAGCAAACTATCAGAAATGTAAGCAAAAATATTTTAATCCGACTTTGAAATGGAAAACTGGGAGATACTAACATGTCTTAAATTCTTTAAATAAGTGTATCTGATCAGATCTTATTATGAATCTAAGATGTCCTGCCCAAAGCCATGCTATAAAAAAGTGAGAGCATTCTTTAAAAATATCCATTAAATATAATATGAGTCTTGAGCATTTCCTTGTTCAAATCACAAATCAAACCTTGCTTTTAATCTGTAATTCATGTTTTGTTTTATATATTTTAAGTGTGTTTTAATTATGTTTTATGATTTTTACTCTGTAAAGAGTTTCTAGAAAAGTGCTCTATAAATAAAATGAATTATTATTATTATTGTATTGTCTGCTTTCATGAGACATCTCAAGAAATTAGTAATGACCAGGAAATCAAAGCAGAGTCATGTAGATATGAATATAAGGTTATCCATAGCATTGACTGACCGAAGAAGCTGCTTCAATAGCCTTGACTGCAGCCTTGAAGACTTTTCTAGGCAGTCGAAGGTTAGTGGTGCCGCTGTCCACGATGCTCTTATCATAGTTGTACTGTAAAAGAAAAAAGATCACCAATTAACAATGTCCAATTAACAATGTCTTACATTTAGCTGACATTTGAATCATTCTTACTTTAGTTTTTGCTGTCGTCTATCAATCCGCCACATCTTACCTCTTTACAGTCCATGTTCAGATCCTGTCCGTTCACCTCAATGCGCACGATGATGACCTCATAGTACCACTCCCTGCGGATGGGAGTGTACCAAAGCTCTCCCACGTACAGGGACGGGTCCACTACTCCGATGATCTAAGAGCATAAGGAAAAGTTAAATCCAGTCGGGTCTCCCAATACGACATTAGATGATTTGTGTGAGTTTGTGTGTGTCTCACCATGCTGCCACCAACAGTAGCGCTACCCAGGGAGTCGTTTTGGGAGAAGCCTGCTCCACACAACTGCAGAGAGAAGAGGTTGGGAACACGAGTCTGCCGAACTAGAGAGTCGAAGAAAGGCTCCAATGTCTCGTCAGGCTGTAGAGAGAAAGAGGGGGGGGGGGGGTGAGAGATAGCTTCATTTCTGAATGGCCAAACTGTTTTTAGTTTCAGCTTTACATGTCGATAAAATGGAGCAAACCTAATTCTTCCAATCAGTAAACCGTTTGTAATTTTTGTCAATCACAAATTTGTTTCTTATCACATCTTCCAAATGTCAGGTTGAACTGGAGTTATCTAAAAATATATCCCACATCCAATGTCTTCATTCCATGTCATCAGGGAATACATGTAGCCTAGTCATTTTGACTTTGACTTTCTTCTTTATATAATGTCCAAATATATATACAGTATGTCACAGTTGTAAAAATAGAGAGTACTCATCTATAAAAGCATGGTTTCTAGGCGATGAAACCGAGGTGCTGATGTGTATGGTCGGCCCTGTGCTGCTGAAAAAAACCTCATTCATGGGGAGATATTTTTCTGATTTTCATGAACCAAGGGATACGCTGCTCTTACTCGGGCTATGTCGGCGTAGGCCAGTCCCAGGATTCCCTCCCAGTTGGATCCGTTGATGAAGAAGCGATCTGACTGGGTGATGGCAGCGATGTTGGCGCGCAGCGTAGCGTTGGGGCCGTGGGGGACGGAGACCAGGTCCGTTCCCAGCTCCCCCTCCCAGCGACCCTGCGTGTAGGGAACATACACACTCCTGCCCTGATCACGGTACGAGCCGGAGCTGTCAATGAGTAGTGAGATAACAGAGTGGGAGAGAAATGAGAGGGAGTTAGCGTAAAGTGGAGGGGAAAGAAGAGGGTTTGGTTTTGAGGGAATATCATATGTTTTTATTTTTAAATGACCACTCAGTTCAATACAATTAACAAGGTGGACTCCTTGTTAATCGCATGTTAACATAATCAGTGTAAAGGTGGAAATAATAATTAAAAAACCACATTGGTGCTCTAATGCTGCGTTCACACCGGATGCAATGTGATGTTTGGGGGCGGTTCGATTACATGTAAAGTCAATGCAGAGACGCGGACAGACGCAAATTCGCTCCGACGGCAAGCATGAAGCGGTGGACGTGAATTCCGCGGCGCGATTGAGGCGATTGAACGGTGCCGTGTCAAACGCGAGAGTTCAATTTTTTCAACTCGAGCGTCAAATTCACGTGACGCATTCTCGCGGAAGCCAATCAGCGGTGAGGATCTCAGCCTGCCATCACTGACGTTCAACCAGAAAACATCAGCCGTTAGCTGTTAGCAGTTAGCACACAGAGCTCACAGCTCCTCATATCTGTTCAGAAACTGGACAAAAGTTAAACAAGTACAAACCACAGACTGTCTGTGTCATGGCGAATACAGTCGCTGGTTTATTTATGTCTGTAGGCCGTTGTTATGAGTGTGGAGTGAGCATATACAACGTTAGCTTAGCCTGGCCGACCCGATCTTCATTCAGAAAACAAGCATTTTAAAAGGTTTTTCGCTTGCCGTCTTGTCTGCAGACGTCAAGCAATTCATTCATGGTTTTTACTAACCGGTATCAGTATGTTGTTACTTCGGCATCATTTAGAAACGTGTATTACAATTTAATCACGGTAAAATATGTTCATTTTGTTGTAGTTGTAGCTTCCGAGCCAGCGCATCTTGTTTGAATGATGCGAGTAAACACAGCTGACAGCGCGGTGAAACTCGAGCGTTTTAGAACGATGTGATAGGAGCGATTAGAGGCGAAGCGAATATTCAAATCGCGTCCGGTGTGAACGCAGCATAAGAGGATATTCAGGTGATAAGGTGAGCGGGTGTTACCTTGGTTGGTGATTGGCTAATGGTTACACAACCCAAAGAAACGTTATGACATCATAAAGTGGCCAAAATCTGATCAGCTCATTTTCAGGCAGGTTTTTATATACATGGATCAGGACAAAAAGAGAGCTAATCTTTTTTCCTGAAACTTTCAGAATCTCTTTACACATGTTTATGTATAAAATACATGAAAAAAGGGGATTTTGCATAATAGGTGACCTTTAATAAAATGGGGAAGACGTAGGACTGTATATTTTATTCCTCGTGTCTCTACTCACAGTGAACGATGGTAGTATCTGCGCAGGAAGGGATGAGCAGCAGCCCCCACAGCAAAGTTACTACTTCCTGTGTCCACCAGGATGTTCAACTAGTGAGAGGGAAGAAAGACAGATAGAGAGACATTTATTAAATATACCAGTGTGCGTTTATTTACAAAAATCAATACGTTTGTAAAACAGACGTTCGGGTTACATTGTGAAATTGATTAGGTTCCATCTCTGAAGAGCAAGTTTAATCATCAGCTACCTTGGAGACAGACATTTGGAAATATATTTCTGTGAGGGGTTTTTAATGTCTGCTATTGATATCTTACTATTGATATTCTACCTTTTTTATATTGGCAGTCCTACAGGCCAATGTTCTCTTTCACAGGAAGTAGTCAGCGTCACATCACACAGATTTTCATTTTTCATCTGTCATTCTCGGTATCCATTTCTCTTCCCTTGTAGTGTCCTGTGCTGTTTCCTGTTGCCCTATGTCCTTCTCCGTCCCCTCTCTGCCTCCACTCTCACCCCCCACTCATCTCAGGTTGCTTTTTCTACTCCCTCTCTCCCTCATCTCCTCCTCTCCTGTCTGCATCTCTTTGTGAGTATCATATTTTGCGCCATCAGTCAAAACAGTTAGTGAATGTGTGAATGGAGCCCGATGGCAGATGCCGATGAAGAAAAACTCAAGTTTATATATTATAATGTAGAAATTGTGAGAAAATAGAGACGAAGCAACTTTTATATTTGATCAAATAATGCGTTAGTCGTTTACCAGCAAAATAATTACTCTCACACTGACACTGTCCTATTGTTGAAAAAACATGTTGATTGCTCATGTTTAATCACAGACAATGGTAAATGATGTCCTTAAAGTCTGCTACCATTAATCATCTTTTACACATGAAATTATCCATGCCTACAATTGGAAGCTACCTATGTCAAATGATTTTTCGTTCTGTTCTTTTTTGATGTACTGCTGCTTTACACTATTTATCTGGTGATACATGTTAATGCATTCCCAATTGTCTAGTTGTAATTGAGTTCAATCAATGCATCAACATTGATATGGTTGTATTCAACATGTACTCATGTGATTTGTGTATACTTTGTGTATACTTTGCTAATATACTGATTGATAAATCAAAGGGACTATAGATAGACAGTTTGCTCCAGAAACACCATAACAGATTAACAGACAGGCGGTCAGATACAGCCACGGCAAGCCATTCAATAATGGATTGGCTCTTTAAATATCCAGGATAGTGCTACTGTCTCAGGGGCTGGGCCTGAAAGCCCAGGATAAATACGGACTCTGTCTAACAAACACACACATCTCAATGATATCACACACACAAGCCTGCATATATGCTGTTTCTACTAACACCTCTACAGTCAAAGTGTAACAACGCTCAACACACCCTGTCTTCCTCTCTTTGCCAGAAATGTGCGGACTGCTTTGGTTGATTCTGTTTCCGTCACACTCACACACACTAAAGGCTCCATCCTGACACACTGAGCCTTCACGTCTTCCCCTGTCTCTCTCTCTCTGTCTTCCTGTCGTCCCTGGCAGAGTGCCCGTCTTTTCCTGCCATTATATCTGCCCTCCCGCCTTCCCTACGGAGGAGAAATCATCTAGTGTTTACCGGAACACATCGTATCTGAAAGTTACTGTAAATAATTTGAGATCGTTTCAACAATTTTGCATCTACCAACTATATCAAAGGTTATACAAAGCCTGTATAGCTTATGCAATTACGATAATTTCATTTCAATATCATTTACCCAACAATTGATGCATCAATTTATAAAAAGCTTTGTTTATCTTGATGTAGGCTCTTTCATAGCCATAAAAACATTCTGATAATTTGATTCAAGATGCCTTAATACTCTTTAAGGGCCTGCTAATGGTTTATCTCTGTGTTGTTATGGTCATGGATATCCTGACTATTCATTTTAATGAATTATATGGTCATTAACACCTGACTAGTGTGTTTCTGCTGGTTGACCTGGAGTGGAGACTGCTGTTTTTGCTACAGTTAAGGTCATGCTTCAGTTTGACATATGAAAAAAGGGTGTGGCTTTCCTGGGATCCTCAATAATTCCAGTATGTATTAGAAACCTAGAAACCTAAATGTATTAATCAGCTTCATATGATGAGCAAACACATTTTATTGCTGAAGTTAGTGCAGTTTCGTTTGCTAAACCTACATTTTTCAAGCAAGAGATTTCTGTATTTTTTTGTCATATTGACTTAATTGTCTCTAGGGCAGAGGTCATGTGACTGGTGGTACCTAGGCTCCTATTGAGTGTTGCAGGAATGAGTCCTGAAACCCACAAATGAGCTAGCATCTATTTTTGTGAGATGCCTGAAATTAGGTCTGTGGTTAATACAAGCTAAATCGATATTCATGTTTACTCACCAACATAAAATATGTCACTAAATACCCCACTGGTGAGTGTGTGAAGCTTATTTTTGTCATAAAACAGCAGTTGCTAACAAGTGACTATGAGAGTATACTTCATCGTCATCACGCCGGACACGAGTCGGCCTTTAGCTTAACGATGGCAACGTGAAGTCAAGCGACTGTGATGTATGTTTAAAGTTATGTCAGCTTTTTACTTCTGGCAATTGCATTTACACTCAAAAAAAAAAATCATAAAAGCAGTAAATTATCAGGCTGACAAAACGTGTAGGTATCATAAACACGTGTCAGCCAGGAATAATCTGAAATCCAATGGAAAAATTCCATTGCTTTTTGTCGAGTGAGCCCCTATGATGCTTTATTCTGGGTCAGCCTAAGAAAATATGACACTTGACAATTGACACTGTAGTGAGTTCTGCCTGTATTACACCCTCTGGCCCATATACTCTTTGGTACACATCCATAGCAAACAAAGATACAGCGGTTCAGAGAATGCCCTGAGCAAGGGATGGAACCCAGAGCACAAACAACACAACACTTTGTCTGTCTTTGCTGACCAAACTCAACCTAAAGCACTATGCCGAAACATGAGTGTCTCTCAATGGAAGGTTCACCTCCACTTGTTCACCTCCATCCCTCTCTCTCGCCATTGTGTTCATTCATTTTTTCACCTCCTCCCTCTTTCACCTTCTTCTCCTCTTCTACCACCTCATCACTTTCTCTCTGTTCCTCGCCCTCTGGGTGCCAGCCTGTACACCACAGCTGCACTTGGCTGGCACTCCTCACTCTGCAGAATTAATGGTTCCATTATCTGTCTGTATCGTCCGTCAGTTCTTTCTCTCTGTCACACACACACGCACACACACACACACACACACACCACAACACACACACACACACACACACACACACCACACACACACACCCACACACACACACACACACACACACACACACACACACACACACACACACACACACACACACACACACACACACACACACACACACACACACAGGCCATCTGTCACTGCAGGGCCAGCAACATTATTGCAAATCGCACAGTACATTGGACAAACGCATCCTCTACCACTGACTTGTAATTTGCATTCCCTATTTACAGTAACTACTAGAGATGTCCCGATCCGATCACGTGATCGGGGATCGGAGCCGATCACGTGATTTTTAAAAGATCGGAATCGGGAGAAAAAGATCGGGGATCCTTAAAAACAATTATTTTATTTAATGTTACAAAACAAAAATGACCATGTTCACGTCTTAAAGTCATCCTGAGGCCCTAAAATTACACAACATCATGTATGTGTTGCTTCTTTTGGGCTTCTTTTCAGACCTGGTTGCTTATTTCTCTCAAATCTGGCAACAGAGTGGGCGCAGTGTCTAATAGTAGCAGTAAGCTAATGAGAGGCTACGTTCAGCTGGTGACTCGGGAGTCGGGACAGAGCAAATGTCAGGAGTTTGTAAGTATTATAAAATTGAAAGCGAAGGCAGTGTAACAGCCAGATGCAATGGTTGCAAGAAGGAGGTTCCGCGTGGTGGAAAGAACAGAGCTACGTTCAACACGACCAATCTAATACGATTGTTTGTTTTTTCATTTTTCCCCCCGTTTTTTTTCCAAATTGAATTTATTGAAATCTCCAATATTAACGTAAGAGCTTGTGCCTCTTTGGGGGGTGCTAACACTTAACCATCAACGTTATCGTTTACTTTCTCCGTCTTTATATGTTACTTTTCTCCGTTAATCTCCGTCACGTTGTTTCCAAAGCAACAACAACTTCCTGTCAACAGCGCTACCTCTCCTTCAAAATAAAAGCATGTCCACAAATAGGAAGCCAAGCCAAATTACACTTAAGACATATTATTTCACACACAGTGACGTCACGAGCTACCCACAATGCAACACGCGCCATATATATATAAATACGCCATTTTCATGGAGGTGCAACTATCCTGGAAGTGCAAATATAAACAGCTAGCTTAAGTAGCCAGGCAGAGCGCACTAGGTTTTTTTTCTGAATTAACGACCGAAGAAATCGCTGCATATCTTCGGATTACATCTCTGGACTTGAGGGGTGTGCTCTAGGTCGTTACCAGCGTAAACTAGAGCTGTGTGGGTTGTCGGATTGCCAGACAGAGGCCTTCGTCGATTTTGGCTGCATCTACGTCTAATTTCTGGAAACACCAGGTGAATACCCCACTTGTCACAATATTATTATCATGCCATTGCATATATGTGGTATTTTAGAGTTGACTAGATATTGATTAAGGCAATAGCCTATGATATTCAGTACAGGAAGCATAGCAATACCTAGACGGTGTACGGCTGCTTGCACCTCGCGGTAAAACGGTGGATACCGGAAGTACGGTTGTCGCGCCACGGCCCAATACCCGTATGTGTGTGTGAAAGAATACAACTGCAACGAAATTAACAAACACAATGCGATATCCTTTTCAATTTCAAAGAACACAAATTGGGTTACATTAACAAATAACTATAAAACAACAATACTGTAGAATAACAAAATGAATGCCGTGAATACACCGAAACACACGTGTTGAAGTGGTTCGCTGCTGATTACTATTGAATTGTGTTACTCCAGTAAGATGGAAATATAATACTTTGTTTATTCATGTTATGTTGAGCTGCTGTTGTTCATTGCATTATTACTAGACTAGTTAGTCTTAAGGCTAGAATTCTGCACCAAGCCACATCTTTATTTTATTTTATTATTTGTGACTGAATGTGAACTTGTGAAGCTAGTCAAGCTACCTCTTTCCAGGAGTTATTTTTCTTTCTGCACTCAATTTGTTTACATGGTTATTTTGTGGTGGACCACTGATAAGCTTTATTTTGTTTTGATCCAATGCTGCTGTGAAAGAAGCTATATCCATGTTGGATAGAATTGATAGTTGGGTACTTTTCATTTAAATTAAAAAAAATAACCTTAAGGGACAACTTGAATGCTTTTTACCTTTTTTTTCTCTTAATGCATTGCATAAAGATCGGATCGGGAAAAATCGGTATCGGCAGATTGTCAAAATCAAATGATCGGAATCGGATCGGGAGCAAAAAAAGGTGATCGGGACATCCCTAGTAACTACAGTATGTATATCTTACATTAAAAATAGCCTGTTACAGTAAAGTACGACAATATTGATATACAGGGACATATACAGTACATTGGTTGTCAAGGTGTGTTATGAATTCAGATTGATGTCACCTACCATTCAGTTGCATTGTATAAAGTCAACTGATGGAGAAAGAATGGGAGTAGGAGACCAAAGATTAAAATTGCATTTTGAAGGAAGAGACTAAAGAAAGGACAACACAGACTATAGTCACACTGAAAGTCATCTTTAAATAACAATTCTTTTTTTTTTAGTGTACTTGGTTTTCTTCAAAATGTATTGATTTGATTATAATTTATTTTACTTACTGCTCTCATAGTTAGACTATTAATTGACTAACACTAAAAACTGTGCAATATATTCTTTCATTTTCACTACTGTTACCTGGTTATCACACTACTTCTATGCATACAAAATAAAAAGTGTTGCTGTTTTTAATATTTTATTAATGCCTCTTAATGAACATTTTCCCTGTTTACTTTAGCTGTAAGAATGTTTATTATTTCTCATGTGGGACTTATAAGGTATCCTGATTTTAATTCTGATGTTATTATGGATCTGTCAAGGCCAAAAAGTGTTTGCAGGCTGTGCCTTAAGGAGCTTTGACAACATAATCGGGGCGGTGGTGGCGAAGTCGATAGGGACTTGGCTTGGCAACTGGAAGATCACCAGTTCAAGTCCCGGCAAGACCAAGTGCTACCGAGGTGTCCCTGAGCAAGGCACCGTTCCCCACACTGCTCCCCGGGCGCCGTTCAAAATGGCAGCACACTGCTCCTAACACTAGGATGGGTCAAATGCAGAGAAACAATTTCCCCACGAGGGATTAATAAAAGTCCATATTATCTTATTTTATCTATCATGTCACGTAAATAAACCTTTACCTTTTGCGGAGGAGAGCCAACAGCCATCTCCACGTAGTATCCTTGACCAGACTTCCCACGCAGGTTATCAATCATGTCCACGAAGGTGATGCTGCTCGCTGCCGCTCCTCTCCGCCTGCGCGCACTGCGCTTCGCCGCGTTGCCGTGCTCGCGGTACGCAGCGGCAGGTGGCAGCGGCGATGGCTTCTCAGCGAGAGCGCCTTGTCGCAGTGGGACGCGGATGGCGAGAGGCAGGCCCGAGGCGTCCGGCGCGGATTGAACGTGGCTGAGCAGACACAAAGTCGTCCACATAAACAGACCTGTCAAACAGCTAGGCTGTAACGTCGACCCCTCCATGCTGAAACTCGGTTAAAGATGTATTTTCGGTATGTTTTGGTTCTGACGCTCCGCTCACGTTGACGTCCAGTCTGCAGCAGCACGGCAGAAGAGATCAGCTGGCAATGATGCTAAAACGACGGCTAAAACCATGATGGCAGTTGCACCACAAATCACAGGGTCACTTTATGTCCTCCGGTTTTCTTCCCGTTTAATTGTGTGGAAAACACCTCGACAACGTTACGTAACATAGTTGGAAATCAATTCACTATTTGTCAAGAAAGGCAAATGCTCAGTGTCACATATAACGTCAAGCTCCGTGCTCCGTGCTCAGTACAAACCGCAGGCCTAGGTCGTTGTTGCCGCACATTCTCATGTCAAACGAGCAAAACCATTGTTGGTTGACAGGCAATCCGGAGAGCTTCAATAATTCGCATCCTTCCGAGACATTCAGTTATCCGCCTTCTAGTCTTTCACCTCCTCCTCCACCTCCATCCACCCGCTGCATCCCCCAGATCTGAGAACAGCACAACTGTCAAGTTACAATGTGAAACCGCACGACTTCCTGTAGGCCTTTTCAAAATAACACAGAAATATAATCCCTTTATTTTATCTCATGAAGTCCCTAAGTGACACACACTGAACAGTCTGGTGGGTCTGGGCCAGGTCATGTGATTTTGTTTTCCCATAACACATGTCCAAGATCATAGGGTTAGGGTTATGTCCCTGTAAACACATGGGACATTTCAGAAGCTTGTTTATTGTTACAAAGATAAGATTCAAGCCATAAGAATTATAATGCTTACGTAAAATGTCCTCTAAAACCTGTTGTGAAAACATGTATTGATCAAATGTATATGAAACAAATAACATTAATGTGACATTAATACAATTCTTTAAAAAAACGTTTTATTTGTTTTTTAATTACTATAGCCTGATATTTTCTACCAGGCTCGGGATTCGAAACCACGATCTCACAACTCTGGATATGGACTGCCTGGTTTAGCTGAGCGATACAGCAGCTTGTGCAGGGATTGATTTGAGGTGACTCGATCACATGACCTTTTTTTCATTACCTTATGGCTGGCCAGGACACAAAATCTCTAGAAAAAATGAAAACATAAAAAGTCCTGTACCTTGTGTGTGCTTCTTTCTTAAAGCTGCAAACACAAAATATTGTCACACCATCTACACTTTGCCATGCTGAAAACCACCAACCTTCTGACTCATAGACATCCATTTACCCTTTGAGCCAAACACCCAGAGACACTTCATCAGTACATTTTTGGCGGTACGGGTTGCTATGGAGGACGAAACATGACATAAGTATAAATAAATAAATAAATGTATGACTAAATACAGGAATAAATAAATAAAGACATTTGGAAATAAATACAGAAATAAATAAATGCGTAAATAAATATGGAAATAAATGAATGTATAATAAATTAAATTAAAATAGTTGAGAATAAAACAGAACACACGTATCTTTAATGTATTTCTACATTTATTTTTACTAACATTAATATATTTATTAATTTCTGTGTCTGGGCATGTTTCACACAATGTAGCCTTTTATTCTATGGATACCACAACATTTATAACAATTGTACTTTCAATTGCTCTGAACCTTGTGCATGTGTCTTTAACAATATCTTTGAGTTGCTATAATATTTTATTTCACTTCGTCTGACCAGTCCCCCTCAAATAGCACAATACAGGATAAATCAACATGATAACGGCATGGCTGGGATTGGACCCACCACCCTCTGACTCAAAGACAACAGCTCGTCCTCTTAGCCACAGCCAAATTATGGACTGTTGTTCAAAAATGATGAAGTCATAGCTGGAAAAGGTACTTTTTAAAAACGTATTTCATGTTCTGTCCTCCAAACCTGTGTGCTCCTTGTGTGCATAAAAGTACAAATTCACTCCAAATCACATCATAGCAAGACCTATAGTTGTGCGTTGTTAATGTTTTAAAAACACATTGTGGTCCAGAGGTCTAAACACTGGCTTTTCATGAAGGTGCTCAAGGTTCAACACCAAGGGAGGAACATCTTTTGTCTCCTACTATGCTGATGTTAAATCTAGAGAAATTGTCCCCACCACTTTTTCTAACGAAATGAAATAAAATAGTGCAAGATTATTTTGCAAGAGAAGTAAAATATATAAATGTCAAATAGAATACAATAAGCTAAATGTTGCAGAGAATGTTGCAAGTGACCAAGTACAGTAAATGCAGAAATCCATATGTAAAATAGAGTAAGATAGACAAGAGCAGAATGTAAAATTAAACTTTCTTATAAAAGTGGCTTGTTCCAGATAATTTATTCCACCATGACACAGACATAGACATTTGAAAGGAAATGTAAATAGATGGCTCAGTGGGCTAGTGAGTGATCTTCGAATAAAGGGAGCGCTGGTGCCATTCCCACTGCCTCTCACCGCATATTGCTCCTGTGGGGATTGCCGACAGTATTGAATCTATGTAAGTTGTTTGGATAAAAGTGTCTAACAGTTGACATGTCATTGTGGTTTTGACTTAATACATTGGCATAGGTTGACTATAAAATGTTTGAGAGACAGAAAATAAGTATATACATTTATAATACAACACAAATTAACATTGATATCAGCTGAGGAAGCAAGTAAGTTGAATTCAATTCAAAGCTCAATACGTTTCGCTTCTCTTTTCCTACAATAGACCGTCTCTCTCTTGAGATGGTCCTAGACAGTCCCAGTAGGAAGGCATAGAGGGGAAAGAAGTGGGTGCTAATACACTGTCCCTGTCCTTACTCTCCATGTTATGTCCCCACAGTGTCTTTAAGGTGGTGGAATAGTCCACACTGCTCCACCATCAACGGGGCCGGGTCCTCCTTTCCTGAGGGCGCAGGAGAATGCAGTTTGAAAGGTAAGTATCCAGCAAAGTTTTTCTATCGTGTATTAATAGTGAACAGATTTATTAAATCTTCCAGCATCACAAAACTTGAACAGTAAGGTTGATGAATACAGCTGAACGTCACTTCTGGATAAACTCACTAGAGGGCATCTGTTAAAGAATATATCCTTTAACCCTGCACCGGTCATGTCTAATCAGAAAATAAATCCAACAAATACAGAAAATTCGAAACCAGAGGATAACTTTATCTAAATAATAAATTAAAGTTTCATAGGCGCTTAATACATTTGGTTAAAATACATTAGAAAAATACATTTCAATACATTTATTAGAACATTTGTAATTTTCCTCTTAACAATTCCTGTGTTTAAATTGTGGATTAAAATGTGTTATTATGTTCAAAACTATAATAAACATGTTCTGAAAAATATGAATAATGTTAAGTTGTTTCATCCAATATGTCTGTTACATTCAGAGAGATACTCACTGGTTGAAGTGTTGGATCCCCAGCTTCTCTGCTCTCTGGGTTTGGTGGTGAATGACTCAGCTCTGCCCTCTGGTGGACACCACACATCTAGGTGTCCGGAAAAACCCACTCTGCACACATTAACAGACAGATACACACATACTGTAGATAATATATATAGTCATACACGCATTGTAGACAGAGACATGCCTGTACACACACCTCTATATAACCACCATCATGTTCCTTGCAGTTTTACCACACATGGCCAATAACCTTTTATGTGTAAATCTCCTTTAAAAACAAAGGTCAAAGATTAGCTATCATGGGGACTTTTGCCTTATCAATATGTTCCAACTGATAACAGCGATAAAGATACACTCTGATCTAGTCAACTGGCCTTTTCGGAGAAGTGTTTCACGTGTTTCTTCATCATGGAAACCTTATACAGACATGATTGAATGACACTCACCGGTCCTGCAGGTCTGTAGTCCTGAAGCCTTTAGCAAATGGGTTGCTAGCAATTTTTAACTGGGTTATCTGAAAGAAAGAAGGTCAAATGAATTATTTCCCAATGCTAGTTCAATCACAATGAAAATCCCACTGATGCCAGATTTCCTACCCGATGATTCTGATAGGCAGTGACTGCCATAAAGCGTGTCTCAGGGAAGGAAAAAGAGCAGAAGTTCCTGTTTGCATTTAAGTGACTGTTGGGAGCTGGATCCACATACACCACATGGAAGCGCGGCTGATAGCGATGCATGGAGTTCAATATCATCTGGCAGGGAGGAAGGTGGAGAAAAACACACAACAGGCGAGACGAAAGAGAGTATTGGTTTGTTTGTGATGCAATGGAAATAAAAAAAATGTACTTTGTATCTTTGCTCAAGGTCTAGGTAAAAACATGTGGGAGTCACATTAAAGACATTGACTGACATGTCCGTTGTAATCCAGCAGGTTGTTGGTGAGCTTGAGAGTGTCGAAGGAAACTGTCTGCTTCATCCACTGGGCGCCACATGCAGGTGAGTCTGGGTGGAAATGCATCCTGCTTGGGGCTATGACATCCGCTCGCCCTGCCACCAACCAAGATGAGCTGTGGAAAGCATATCTGGCACACACACACACACACACACACACACACACACACACACACACACACACACACACACACACACACACACACACACACACACACACACACACACACACACGTTTCAAATGTGTATGGGAAGGTGAGGTGTGCTTTCAGGGTGGAAAATAGCACAGATAAAGGTTATACATTAACAATGATGGACTTGAATAAACTTACACAAGCTCAAAACAATTCTCATTTCTCAATCTGTATGTGTGTCTGACCTGTATCTTTTATCGTCAACAGGGATAAAGTCCATGAGCAGGACATATTCAGCAGTAGGATCCATCCCGGAGATTTGCACCTGGAATGTTGGAAACATCCTCCTGCAGTTTATGAACATGTAAATTACCATACTGTTGTAAGAGAGAGCAAACAATGGATAAGTGACGAATATAAGTGTTATTGTCACCTTCCAGCTTTAGTAACAATCATCTCTGTGCCCAGCTGGTCAAACTGCTGCCAAAGCGCATGCATCTCCAGCTGAACTCTGACCCCACTGACTTGGGGAGTCTTGGTGCACGATAGTGACCCCCCGTCTGCACAGCAGGGCAGAGATAGTTCACAGCTCCGAGACAGATGAGGACCTATTAGGAGAGGAGAAATGTGTGCTGAACATTTGCTCACATTGGGTTCAGACTTTGTGTATAATGATCATTATGTTAATCTGAATAACTCAATTGAAATGAAAATGAACACTTACCATCCATTGTTTGAAGGTTTACAGGATGAATAATATGAACAAATTGTCGTTTTTGTCTTTAAAATGTTGTTCACTCCAGGTCTTTCTTCCACTTCTGACCAACAGAAGCAGCTCCTGTCATTAATGTAAGACCAGTAGAAAAGAAAACACACAATTTAACTTGGAAATTAAGACAAAACTCTTCCTCCCAGTCCAGTGTCCGGTGCTGCGGTAGATGTACATCCAAGTGTTAGGAGCGGCTGTTTGTGTCCAGGAAAAAGCTGGTTTTATACACCCAGAGACTCTCACTGGGGACCCCATGCCTGCCTCATCTATTACAATACTCGTAGTGCCACTGACATGCAATAATCCCAGCTGCACACGCATGCATTCATTGCAGACCCAAGCAGTGTGAATACGCAAAAGTGCGCGCACACACAACGTTTTTAGAGCATCCCCTGCTTGTATTTCCTATTGTCTCAAATAGCCTAAAGCCTTAAGTGGAAGTTATCTTGACGGACCAGTAGGACATTAATAACACCTTAATCAGCTCAGTGTTAAAGGGTGTGGACAGGTAAGGACAGCAACAAACTGCTTTTATTATTCATAGCCTATTTTATTGGAGCAGAGTTTCAACACTTTACTAATTAGTGTTAGAGAGTCAGGAATTGTCTTGGTTTAAAGGTAATTCTAGTGTATTTATAAATGCAACATATCAGTGTCAGGGATACGTTGACAGGCATGGACCTCTATCCCTGTCAAGGTTGTAAGATGTTCGAAGGTTACTTTTTTCAGTGTGTTATGCAAGGCGTTGTGTACTATGAAGACCTTAACTAATGAAATAGCCTCAAAGTAGGACACAAACAATATGATATATATTTGTAATGAATCAAAATGGTCTGCTTTGACATTTGAGATAAGGGTTTAGTGGTGTGGTGATTTTATACCATCAAGTGCCTCTATGATGGGACAGTGTTGAAGGGCTCCACCCTCAGGGATCTAGACCCTAATAAAGCACAACAAGTTAGTCAATAGGCCACTTACCCCCCCCCCCGCCCCGATCAGCTCATTAATCACAGCTATCAGGACCACAGGCGAATATATCTCATATGTTATTGGATGTCTCCTTTAAGTAGAACTGATTGTATCAATATTTTTTTTTCAAATAGACCTTGTGATCAATGATGACCTCTCAAAATGCTGTCTTTGTCATATCATGTCTGTTGTACTGCTAAATTCCTGAGAGGATTTTGTTATAAGACCGCATTGCAGGCCCGGACTGGCCATCGGGAGGACCGGGAGGTTTCCCGATGGCCTGGCCTGCTAAGTGGCCTGCTGGCCTGAGGATTCTTTTTTGTATGTATGTATTGTGAACGCAACGCTGCGCAAATGTGGGTCTGACTCTGCCTCACAGAGGGTGACTGGCTGTCTTCATGATGTGGCCTGCCGACATGGGCACTTTCATACAGATCATACTAATGCCCTCGATTGGTCTCTGTGTGTCATTCAAGCTCGGGAGGGTTTGTATGTGTGGCGCGAGAGCGAGAGCGAAAGAGAAAGCGCGTGCACCGGTTACGTGTATTGTTGTTGTTAGCATCTGGTGCTAGCTAGCTGCGCTAACGCATATCATGAGCTGTCAACAAGGTGGAGGAGAGTCCTCTGCTATCAGACTGAGAGACTGATAACTACAGCTCAGGTGAGGTAAAGGACTCTGAGTGTTTAGATAGTTAACTTAGTCTAAGTTCTCTGTGGGTCTCAAACGGTTTGGTCACCATTTATGTAAACACATATTTCCATTTGAAGGGGGAGTGATTAGTCAAATATGGATGAATAATAAAAAAATGTTTTAACTAGGTGAAAAAAGGGTAAGATAAACTTGCTAAAACTAGTCTTTGCTGCTGCCTCAAAGAGGAGCAGGGAGAGAGGAGGGAGACAGGAGAGGCTGATTCAGGAGCCCAGACACACTCACAACTATAAATGAACCAAAAACAAATAAATAAACAAGTTTCAATGTGTTTTCATATTGGATATGGTATGTTATTGGTTATGTACTTATGATTTTATGATTATTTAAATGTAACAGTTCTGTTTCATATGGGTGTAGTCTCTTTATTTCCCCCTCAAAGTGCACCAGATTGATGCATTTAAGTTCAACATTTAAAAAAAAATCTTACCGGGGGGGCATGACCCCGGACCCCCCTATAGGATTTGAGGTCCACCTGCACTTAAAATATGTTCACATAGGTTCCTAAATAGATTTGCACATTATTTTAAACAGTGTGTCCATATGTTTATTCGGGGGTTGTAGATTTAAAGTTTAGGGCTATCACTACGTGCAGCAACGCTGTAAATATTGACAAATAAATCCAGGAAAATGGCACAAAATAAAACTGGTAGTGGCCTGGCTGGGTGTATAATTCCCGGCCTGACTTATTTTCCCAGTCCGGCCCTGCCGCATTGTATATTTATATGCTTAAATTGGCTTTCTGTGGTGCACTGCATTGTGTTGTACATTATTATGGACATGAATCTGCTTAAATACAGAAAAAATTATTTCGGAAAGATTCAAGTTAAGAGTCAGAGAGCAAAGTATTTTTAACAGTCAGATGTTTATTGAGCTGTATTTTGTCGAAGCACAGTTTTCATCAGACAAGCATCATTACACAGATGTTTAACTACATACAATTCCTACACAAAATGTAAGCAGTTGGCAATGAAGACTAAGCATGTTGGTGCTGAGTATGTATGTGTTTGTGTATGTGTTGGTCTGTGTGTGCTTGAGCATGTGCGCACTAAGGTGTTTGCATAGGATGGAAAGAGCAAGAGTCCCGCCAGTTTGTTGCAAATAACTGCATCAATCAGGCATTGGCTTCATTTTTGGAGGTCTGGCTGCACATTTGGGTAAAGAAGGAATGGAGAGGAATTTGGAATGGATCTAGGCCTGAAGTTAGGTTAGGTTAGTTACAGAAAGGGGTAGGGAGGATTTATTGCTTGTTGTAGGAAGCAACGATGGTCTCGAAGATGGCCTGGAGCTTGGCCTTGACGTCCTCGACTAAAGGTGCGACCTTGGCTCTCAGTTCAACGAGCTTCTCGCTGTCCATGCCCTGGCTACTGGCGTAGACCTGGCTGATATGTTCCTTGTATTCCTCGACGAAGGGAGTGGCCATGGTCTTCAGCTCCTCCAGACGCTCAGAGAGCTTGGCACGCACAGCATCCACAATGGGCATCATGGCGGTCTTGGTCTCCTCAACGTTTAAAGCGATCTTGGTACGCATTTCCTCCACAATGGGCTCCATCCTTGCCTTCAGGCTTTCAATGTCGGCGGTGTGCTTGGCGGCATACTCTTGGATGATGGGCTGCATCCTTGTATGGTAGTCTGCGATGTGCCTGTCGATGACTTCTTTCAGTGCAACACGTTTGGGCTCCAGATCTATCTTCAGGCTATCAATATCAGCCATGATGGAGGCACGGATCCCAGAGGTGGTCTCACTGAGAGTGCCTACGACATTGTCGGTGATTGGGCCCACGGAAGCCTGCAGAGTCTTGATCCGAGTGAACACGTCTTCCAAGCGCTGAGACATACCGACCCTGGAACAGAGATGGGAGAGCGGAACTTAGCTTAAGTCAAACACACACATACATGAGTAAATGGTGACTGGAAAAAAGTGACTGGGGAGAATGGGAATGAACCTGTGACATAGCCTTACTTGAGATCACTGTACTCGGTGCCATCGAGCTGGTCCAGTGCTTTCTTGGCACTGTCCTTCACCTGAACCAGGTACATATCCATGGCAGTACGGATATGCTCCAGCTGGGATGGGGCATCAGCCTGCATGGAAGCGGCATGAGAGCCTGAGAAGGAAAGGGGGAGAAAAGAGATAAACATTTAGGGTGGGGAGATGAAATAGATGGCAGTCTAAACATACAGTTTTTAATACGTAAAATATTCAGTTGTAATAATTTGAGATATAACGTAAACGTAATACACTTGTTAAGCAATACTTTACATGCAGGTTAAATATTTTCCCTTTAGTAGGAAAAAGATGAATTCCGAACTCACCGACAGCCAGCACAAGGGCGAGAGCGAGAGCAACGAATTTCATGATGGTGGTCTAGAGTAGGAAAAAAAAAGGCAACATGTCAAACTCACAGTTATACATGTAAAATGTGTTTCAATATAACATGTTTAAATTACACAAAGGAGCAAACAAAAACTATGTAATGATGGAAACTCAGTAAGCTTTGAATCCCCCAATTAAAACAATTGGAAGGCCAGATTAGAAGGCTTAAAAGTAAGAAAGCTTAAACACACTGTAAGAGCTACGGGTCTCTGAGTCCACACTAAGCATATGGCTGCCTATTAAAGGCACCTTTAATCTGGGTAGATTATGCAGGGTTATACATTTTGAGAGACAGTTTAAGCTGATAAACAGTGTTTTGTAAACTAATCCAGTCTTCACAATAAAACAGTCATTGAGCTCAAACACAATCAAAATCCCGGCACACTCAAAGTGAGGAATCCTTCTCTTCCTAAAATGAGAATGCTAAAACCAACAATGTTTACTATCACTTCAAGCTAAACAGCACTATCTCAAAGTTTCAATTAATTAAATTAAATATCTCTTATTTAAGAGTTAAAACCAAAACATCTCTTTATACAGAGAACCCTATCTTTTTTTCGTCAAAGCCCACAGATTGCTGAAAGCTTGCAGAGGAGAAAAAGTTCCCCAGCAGTCTAGTCTCACTACCTCTTCTACAGCCCAATTTCCCAGTAAGAGCCACAGAGGCTGTTTGTCTTACCTGGAGGAGTTCTTGATGAGACTGAACAACTTGAGCCAGAGCAGACTTTTTATAGTGCCCGGATGAGGGATCGGTCTGTGTGGGGAGGAGGGGTGGGGGTGGAGGTGTGAGGCTTGTGTGTCTCCGTGGAGGTGGACCTCACCCCCCTGCCATCTCTCTCAGCAGGGGGACTGAGTAGAGAGTTCAATGGTCGCCTGCTGGGAGAAGATCACTCAGCACACACGCTGACACACAGAGTCACAGATTGGCTTTACATTATCAGTATCATAAATGTACTGTAACTTTTATTGAAGCACAAATGTTTCTCAGCAACATCAGCTATCCTCTAAATGCACTAAGCCTTTCAGGGCAACAGGACATTTTACTGGTGATAATTCCAAGCTAAGCTTTTGTTTTTGCTTGACAAAGAGCTTTCACATTTGTTCTCTTGCAAAGCTACTCTTGTTGTGTGTAGGATAATAAAAGGCTGAACTAAACAAGCTAGTGTTAAGACGGAGCCATGAAGGTAGTTTAATTTGGAAAAGAGTGTGAAGGGACAGGAAGGCATGGTTTGAAAACATTGATGTCGGAAACAAGAATAAAATGAATGTCCCTCAGTGGACTATACATGATCCTGT